GTCCAAATCCTACTCTATTCTATGAGAATCATTCCATTGTCTACAGTCATCTTTGGATCAGGCCTTGTATACTGCTGAAAAGTGTGCTATAGTCAGTAATCCAGTCTGTAACTGATTAATACAGGCCCAGAGTTAAGGAAACCTTACACATTAGCACCACAGCACAGGCTATGTTAGACAATCAGGAGCTAGAGAGAACCACAGAGTTTGTCTGTTTCCAACATCCTCAATAAAGAACCCACTGTTTATACATTACAGTGGACCACAAGGGATACTACAGTAAGTATTAAGTTTGATTAAAACCATTGACCCACTTCCACATCGTTGCCATCTGGATTCACAAGGGGTTGAGAATTTATGCCTGTTAGTAAGAAAGGGAGTGCAACTGCTTTGATTGTGCCAAGGAAAAATAAACAATAGCTCAGCACATACCACTCTTTGCAGAGTAACTACAGCCAGTGCTCACAAGCGCCACCGCAGAAAAGCCTCTCACTTGTCAGTTGTTAGATTCCCAGTTGGAGTTTTGGCAGGTTACATTTTCCAGTTTAACCTAGATCAGTTGCCAAAAATAAAATGAAATCCCCATAAGGGGAGCAACATCAAAAGAGGCCCATTTTGTTTTTAGGCTATTAGCATCTTGTATGGCAGAATTCACAATGCATCATAAGGAACTGAGGTTCTTTTACTGAATCATCCTGCTAGCAGGAATTAAAACTCTGTTCACGGGATCTTGATAGCCTGTTCAAAACTGCTTACAGGATTTATCACTACGGAAGTTTAATCATTAACATCCAGCAAAGGAACAACATTTTCTTTGCATGTGTTTAACCCTCATACCATGCAAGGTGAAATTCAAACATACTTGCAATGAGAAACGGAGAGTGAGAGAAATGTGGATCTTGGAACCAAATCCCTCTCTCCAGCAGCTAAAAAGTAACATTTGATGACATCCTGTGGTGGGCTCTGGCAGTGCAGCTGTTCCCTGAAACCAGCCTCCCCCAGGCACTGACTGAGGCAAGTTCCCTGCAATAAGAGGATGCTTAGCCAGGAGCAGGGATGTAGTAAACAGCAATTGGTGTGTGTGTATGTGGGATGGAGGAGCTCAACACAGTCAATGAGTCACATCAGGATTCTAGAAAAGGTAGCCCTTCTGTAAACAAGAGATGTCCCAACCTTCCTTCACTGCATGGCTTTTCTAGAGGGCCAGAGGATTGTTTGTGCTGCAAAGATGACCGTGTATTTCTTGCACTACTCCTTTTGGGGAGCTTGACCCAAAGCCTGTTCAAGTCAATGAGTGCCTTCTAGCTGTGAGTCAGGCCTTTAGTGTCTAATATTCTGTGATCCATATGCAAGAAAGAACTACTAAGAAGCATTGGATCAGACAGACAGGCGGTGCTGTCAATCATTCCTCATTTAGAGGCTAGTGTAAAAGAGTACTGCAAATACACTTCATTTAACTTAAAAACACAGGAGGGAGTGTGTTCCCTACTCTAGCCCCTCTATGAAACAGCAGCAGAGTATAGCAGCCAAAAGCAGCCCCCACCCCCAGAATTGGGGGAATATTCTAGCACAGACACAACATAGGACCACTATCGCTAGCTTTATGCTGGGCCCTTTGCAAGTCCGGCTACACGAGATGTAGTCCATAATGCAGAGCATTGTGTGAGGTCTGCCCATAGTCAGTCCTGGGAAGATTATATAAAAAAAATTGAACAGTGCCCATCACTCTACTGTTATTAGAGGCTGTTCAGACCACTGAAGAAACCTGGAATTCAGAACCTCCTGGAACCGCAGCACAGAATTTCAGCCAGTAGGTTTTGTCCTTCCTTAATTTTGTTAACCTTAGTAATAGCCGGTCTTGATTTCTCTCTGGATGTTTCAGGTTCTAAAGCACCAAAATCCAGCAAAGAAAAGAAAGCTGAAAGGATCAGAAGGAAAATACTCAAACTGCCTCGAAGTGTCTCTGTGCCATTTTCTATTTGTCATTTGACTTGAATTGTTTCCCTTTTCTTTCTGTTTGTCTAGTGCCTATTTGGTTACATTTGATAACATCTAAAGTAAAATAAAGTAATACTGGAGACCCTTGAAGGAATTAAATGGAATGGTGGAGACTAAGGAACATTGAGCTGAACAGTATACTATTAGATGCATGTCAGCTTCCTGGTATAAAGACTTTACTTTGCAGTCATATCTTTCTGTCTGCATACATACTTATATGTATCCCATTTCTTATAGTATTTTTCAGCCAGTAATTTAAAAACATGTTGCCAATATTAATTGCCTCATTTTATAGATGAGGAAATTGACGCATGGAAAAAATCAAGTGACGTGTCCAAGATCACATAACAAGCCAACAACAAAGAAAAAACTAGGAAGTCAAGTCCATGTCCCATGCTCTAGCCATGCCTTAAGAACACTTGTGCTGTAACAATTCTCCTGCCATTAGATCAATAACAGCAGATTACTACAAAGTGAATCTTAACCTTGCTGACACCTGTGCTCATGACCTCACCAAACAGAAAAAGGCCACATTATGAAGCAGGTTCTCCCCATGATCTGTGCATGTAATCTATTCCCTTCATTAACAGCATCATTAACAGAGTTAACAGTTGCTAACAGTAGACAACCCCCTAGTATTCTTTTAGCCTTAAAAATCTATGAATCAATGTGCCTCCAAGGAAAAACATAACAAACACCTGTAGAATTTACAGGAGTGATAAGCTGCCTCTTTTTTCTCCATTTGATAACGTAATGGTCAGTTTTTAAATCGTGAGGTGTGTGCTAGTATTAAGCACTTAGCAAGGTTGCATGGAAGGGAAACATTGCTACAGAATGTGTACTATTCAGTATGAGAAGTAACTCCATATATTACAGCTATAGCTGCCCTAATCTCACGTCTACACAGCAGGACTAAAGCCAAAATAAGCTACGCAACTTGAGCTAAGCTGAAATAGCTTATTTTGGCTTTTGATACTGTCTACACAGCAGAAAGTCCGAGCTAGAGCACTCTTCCTCTGACTTCCCTTACTCTTGTAAAATGAGGGTAACAGGAGTTGGAGTAAGAAGTCTTCCAGCTTGACATTATTTCAACATTATGTCAAAATAACTGCTTGCTGTGTAGACACGGACTAAGTTGTTTCAGAATAAAGTCAGTTATTCTGAAATAACGCTGCTGTGTACGTATAGACCCAAGTTGCTATTAATGCCCTTCAGTGATGTCTATTCATACCACTACTGCTTTATAGCAGCAGCTCTTGCTCTGTCTGTAGTTCTGTTATAAATCCTTACTTCCAAAGAAAGTCCACTTGGTTATTTACATTGAGGGTATGTCTACACTGGCAGCTTCTTGCGCAAGAACTCTTCCAGAAGAGAGCATCTACACTGGCATGTGCTTTTGCACAAGAGCATCCATGCCAGTATAGACGCTCTCTTGCGCAAGAAAGCTCTGATGGTTATTTTAACCATAGGGCTTTCTTGCGTAAGAAATTCATGTTGCCCGTCTACACTGGCCTCTTGCGCAAGAACAGTTACACAAGAGGGCTTATTCCTGAGCAGGAGCATCATAGTTCTTGCGCAAGAAGCCCTGATTTTATACAGTAGAATGTCAATTTACTTGCGCAAGAACACATGGCCAGTGCAGACAGGCAGCAAGTTTTTGCGCAAGAGAGGCCACTTTGGCGCAAGATCGCACCAGTGTAGACACAGCCCGAGAAGTGCATTTGCAGTATAATTTGTTCCTTGATGTCTTTTAATATGGAAAATGGGTTTTTGATTTTCCTTCTGATACAAATCTCCTACTTCACCTGGGAAATTTTCAGCTAAAAGATTCCTTTACAGAATCATAAGATTACTCCATACTTTCCTGCCAAATGCTGAAGTATTTGTTTGGAGTAAACAGAAATTTCTCTTTTTTCATAAGCAGTGTCCTCCTCCTGCCTGAACTGATGAGAGACTTTACAGCGAAGTGAGACTTAGTAATCGGATGTGACAATTACATGGGAGTTTGCTCTTTTTTAATTCAAATCATGTTATTTGTTCATGTTGCATGATTTATTCAGATGGGTAAAGTCATCTAGAAATCTATTGTAACACAGAAATTTCTGTTTTAGAAAGCTCAGCAGCCAATCCCTATAACACAAGCAGCACACTGACAAATTTGGAACTGGTGTTTTTCCTTTGTGCACAACAAACTGAGAATAAGGGGTTTTTGATATCTTCCCCCAAAATCATACTTTTTCAATATACCCACATTTCTTAAGATGTAATATTTTGCTCTACAACTGCACCTTTCATCAGAAGAGCCCTTTATAGTTGTAATTTAGAATGTCACACAACACCCTACTGAGATTATGTTTAATTGTCCATGTTTTATAGATGGGGAAGGAGGAAACTTGAGCACCAAATAAGTTAAGTGACTTGCTCAGTCACACAGCTAGCAAATTACAATAAGATTTAGAAGCCTGGAGTCGCTGCTCTAGCTTCTGAAATATACTGTCTCCCTATGTAACAGGATAAGCAATATCCCTACTTTTCCTATAGAAATGGCCCCTAGTCACTTATTATCCAGGAAGAGAAGAATCTCTGCAAAGTCGGCAGAAACTTTGTAATAAACGCTGCCAAACTCCTACCAAACACAGTTGCATGTCATGAGCAGCCCCTTGGCAGATTTCCGTACAAGATATCTGTAATTGAATGTAACTGCAGTTTCATGCTCGAGATCTAAAAAAGCAGGGAGCATGGACTTAAAAAAAAACTGTAGCTGATTTATGAGCAACTTTTAAACTTTTATCAACTTCGAAGTCATGCACAATTTCCCTAATTGCAACTCCATTGTTCCCCCCGGTTTGCTTGTGTTACGCTACAAATCCTAGAACTACAACTATTCATCCTCCTGCAATTCACCCTGCTAGAGTTTGACCTGCCTATCATTCCGAAATAGCGCACCAAAGTGACGCAGCCCTTCTTTCCTTTATGACGTAGTCGGTTGCGGGGCAACAGCAGAGAAGGTTTCCTTGACAATATAAACAAGAGAGGAGAGCAAAAGAAGCCGCGAAGCTAACCAATGTCCTCAAGGTTCCGTGCCACTGTTCCAGGTGCATGTCTGTGTCCGGCTGCAATTGTCCAGTGCTGCTATCAGAGAGGCTAGGAGTCTCATTTGGGTGAGAAGCCAAAGAAGAAAGGTATAATTTGTATTGCGTTCCCCCCTCCTATGTTTTTAACAGCAAATGCAGCTTTTTCATTGAGACAGAGAGTTGGAAGAATTAGTATGCCTCACTAGGAAATTCCATGCATTGATAATTTACCTACGTGTAGCTGAGTATGTGTGCATGTTAACGTGTTGTTAGAAGGCAGGGAAACCTAACCCATCTGCTTCTAAATTACCTGCTGCTTGCTCAATATTTGAGCCCATTCAGTGCATCAATCTACAACTGATCTTATTAATTCTATTTTTTAGAATGATTATGCAGGTTCCTCAGCATTTTTGCACTGCACCTTAAAGCTAGGGAAATGTGGCATATACATTTATTAACTAAAACTTGATAAGATAATTCCTTATCAATTGACTTTGACACCAATGAGTGACGGTATAAACCTGTGGAGCCATTAAAATGTCAAAGGTCATGCAAAATACACCAAATGATTTTAATACCTTTTTTTTCATTTTCTATCTTAATCTATACCCTGATTGTCACTCATGCCACATTTAACATTATTTCCAAAGTACTGTCCAAACACTTATCTACAATCAGATTTATTTTTTTTAAATTGTGTACACACCTTAGGAACAGGGTTAATCAAGAACACTTATTTTTTGACAAATACTGTTGCTCCTTTTTGACCTAAACAGCTAGTTGAAGTTTGTAAGTCCAGCAATGTCCCAGTTGGGGTTAGAAATTGGAAATAGGCATTTCTTTGATGCAGTTTTTATTTACAAAATCCTACTGTCTCTCTGAATGCAGAGGGGATAAAACAGTAGGAAACCACTTCTTCTCAAGCACAAGACCATTCTTCTCTGCCTGCAATCAGAGTTTCTTCCAGGCTCAGATACCATGCTTTCAGATGCTCCTTCTGTTTGCTTCTGTGTTCTGCCCGTCTCTCTCATATTTGATGACAGTACCCTTCCCATCATGTTGTTAGTTTCTGGACAGATTCTGTTGGCTTTCATTCTAGATGTCAGCCCTGAAGAGCTTCAGACAAGTACCTCAAGTGAAGGGTAGTTTCACACCCAGTCTCAAATAGGCTTATGATCCAAGCGCTCATCAGTGTTTCTCAGCATAATGCTCTACTGTGGAACACCTTTTTTCCCCTCAAACAATGCAACAGAAAAATTGTTACTGAGTTTTATATAAGTGCTTAGCACAGGCATTCTGTAGTAGCACAGCTTTGGATTATAGATATCCATGTGAAAAAGCACTGAGGGCTTTGCACTTCTAGATGTTTGCTGTGTTTACCCAGTTGCCTGGCATGACCCAGGAGTTGCATTACACAGCCTCACCACTGAAGTTGGGATCTGTTTCAGAGTCACAAGATAAACAGGCTCAGAGGGGTAGTCATGTTAATCTGTAACTTTAAAAACAAGTAGTCCTTTGTCACCTTAGAGACTGACAAAAATATATAGGATGATGAGCTTTTGTGGGTAAGACCAACTTCATCAGATGAGTTGGGGTAGAAATAACAGAATTCAAGAAATATATAACATCAAAAGAAGAACCTGTCAATTTTAGGACCCATGCTAATGAAGCTAATTAAGTGGGCTGGATGTGACTCGTTCATAGCTTTTGATGTGAAAAGAGGGTTTCCCTGGATCAGAAGCTGGATAGAGGCATCCTACAGAAAATCTAGATACTGCAAGAAGGGCAATTTTTGTAGGGAACTTTCTACTTTCTGAGCTGGTGCTGTTACTTGAGGTTCTTTCAACCCCAACCTTTGGTAACTTTTACTCTCTGCGAGGTGGTGTCAGGAAATAATTCAGGGGAAACACGGTCGTCTGACCGATAGATGGATGGTACAAACAGGACAACGAGCGTGCTTTCACTTAAAGCTAAACTTTACTTAGTCTCAAGCACTTACACACATCCGCAACAGGTTGGTAAAACACCCCCACTCTTGATAATTACCGAAGTTGAGTGTGGCTCTCAAGTGACACCGAGCAGGTTTCCGATGGCCAGTCTTCCCTCTACTGGTGGGGACGAAGATGCGTCCATATGTGAAGAGTCCTTAAGGAGTCCTCAAGGCGTCCCTCCAAGTGTTCCCAAAATTGTCCCCCCAACTCAAACTTTCCTTCTCTATTTATCCATTAGTATTACAATAACATGTCACTCAAAAACTTGTTAGGCAAGCACTTTTTAAAGGTTAAGCAAGAGGTTTTCTTCTGATCATCACTTTCACCAGATGCGTTTTTTCTTTTTCAGAGACTCCCTGCTCGGGGGCCCTGACAGATATGTGTCTTAGGGCATTTAGACAAACTTCCTGTTTTACTTAATGTATAGCTCAGCGATTTCACTAGCGATTTGGGCCTCAGGAAGGACGCGGGGTCAAGCTGCCCTCTCTGTGGCACTCTTCCCCCTCCCTGACTTAGTCATGCTGTCTAGGCCTATTTTGGGCCTGTTAGTTTGGTTGCTAAAGTTCAAGCAGTAAGCAATAGTGGTTCAGGTACATTACTGGATTTGCTGAAATCTCCCCGTACAGTACTAACCCACATGGTTTGCAAAAGGAGATGTGAAATCCAGTTCAGCAATGTAAGAAGCTTCTTTAAAGAAGTCTGAGGTTTTAATAGGCAAGGTTGGAAAGGAAAGGCAGGGAGCACTATTTGTAAAGGAAGTGGGAGGTTGGTCTAAGTGATGTGGCAGTGCAAATGAACCGACTTAAAATATAGCCATAAAACGAGTGCAAATGGCAGTCATTATTTTCTCCTCTCCTCAACCAGTGCACATCTGGAGCGATCCTACTGACTCCAGTGGAATCACACCAATGCAACTGATTTTCCATCTGAATTTGTCCTAAGGAGTCCCCCTTCTAAATGGGGGAGGATTGGCCATTTTGTTGACTGTGGGCTAATTATGATAAACTACAACAGTCCTTCTCTCTGTACTTACAAATAATTGTATTGTGATTACCTTCTTCCTAGGTTCTATAGCAGAGAATATCAAACTCCACCAGCTTCCCTGAACCTTTCACTAGAATTATTTGGAACAGAATTTGTTCAGCATGTCCACGCTATCTTATACACGTTCATCTGGGTCCCATGAAACACCCAGCTCTGGAGCCATTTCCAGTAAGAATTTTAATTAATAACCTGTTGCTTGTAAAACATAAATCTAATGATGAAATGTGGGTGTTTGCGGAAGTGCTCAGAAGTGTGGCATATGGCATATGTGGGAATTTTCCTTTTTTAAAGAGAAGATAGAGGCCTTAAAGCTTGTTGCTAACAAACCACTATGTTTTATTTTGTGCCTCTTTTTCCAGAAGTATATAGTTAAGGCCATGTCTACACTACAAAACTATGTCAATCTAACTTAATTTAATAGCAAGTTATTAAATTGCTTGGATATATGCACCCTTGGCTCCTTGTGTCAGCAGTACACGTTCTCACCTGGAGCATTTGTTTGGGTTGGTTTGCTAGTGTAGGGCATTGTGGGACAGCAACTGAAAGCCAGTATGATCTAAGAAACATATTGTCTATGTTGACACTGCATCGATCTAATTACATGAACCATGATGCTATGCTGCTCAGGTACGTAGAGTTACTAAATTACTATAGAGAGGCACTTACATTGTCTGGAGCCAAAATTGAATGGAGACACTTCCAAAGCCAGGTTGACACAAGGCAGTGAACGTCAACCTAACCATTTAGTGTAGACCAAGCTTTGGACTTGTTTTCTGAATGTAATCCACTCAAATTGAATGTGGCTATTTGTCCCTCTTTTATGGCTGGAACTGAATGGAATCCTAATGTATAGATGTCTCCTTCAGACAAGCAAATATGGTCCTTTCCCTCCATTCCATGTCCTGGTTTATACTTTCATTAAAATTGAGTGAAAGGCATTAAGGGTTGAGTTTTGTCATCAGTCTTCATTCACATTACAAAGTCACCACAATATTCAGTGCAAAGTGTGAGAACACATCCCTTTCTGATCATAACATGGCCTTTATTTGACAACTGGGTGTTTTGTTATTTTCTCTTTGGCAAAGCCCTACTGTCAGTGTTCAACAAACATACTCAACCCACGCATCCGGCAAAAGAGATCAAGAAATTGAACTACTGCCTCTTTCAATGTGTAATTAAAAGACAATAAAATCCACCTTTCTAATGTATGTGAAAAACAAGGGAATCCCAAGACTTGGGGATTGCATCCATGGATTCAAGTACTGCCCTTTTTTATTACCAATGTTGCTTATTACTATTGATTTATTGCTTTTTTTTTTTATTGAACCAGGGGGTAGGACCTTATCTCCACACACAGAGTCATCCTCTGGGATGCTCTCTATCAAATCTGGAGTGGAAACAAAGTCTGCACTTTCAGGTAAGGTTCTGATACTCTTTCAGCTTTTAATTGCTAACCCTGGGCCAAATCTACAGGTGCTTACTCAGGTTGCTGTAAAAACCTTTAGTCTGGTAGGCTCTAATGGCTTCAATGGGAGCTTTAACTGAATAAAACATTGAGTATAGACTTCAGGATTTGGCCTGATGGAACTGGGCAAGAAACTGAGGTGTGTATGGGTAACCAGTAAAATCTCTGGTCTGCCAACACAGCCTCCCCAAAAGATCAGCTGCTACAAATGTGCTAATTCTCCAAACTAGACCCAAGAAGACCCATTAATAGTAATCTCGGATATAGCAACATCCCTTTAATATGATCAAGGCAAAAAGTCTGAACATGATCAGTAAGGACAGTAAAACCTCAGGACCAAAACAGAGAATTTGGCCCATCATGGATTCACCACTTCAAGAAAAGTTGGCTCTTTAAATGCCTGTTTTCATTAGCGAGGATACCATGTTAAACACTGAGGGAATGTCTATATTTACAAAAAGATACTCTGGAGGCTGATCTTCTAGCATTTGATTTAGTGGGTCTAAAATAGACCTGTAAATCAAACACCGAGGGCACCCCAGCTGGCGTCTGGTACTCCTCCTTCTGTAAAGAGTAAAGGAATCAGACGGGAGCATTTGCTCCCGTTGGCCTCCTGCTGTGTGGGCACTGCCACAGCTTGGCTTAAGGTAAGGTGACTTCAGCTATGCATTTTGCATAGCTGGAGTTGCATAACTTAAGCCGATCTTCCTGATTTAGTATAGGCCAGGCCTGACAGTATTCCTTTAAAATATGTTGGATAGTGCAGAGGTAACTCAGATTAAAACATAGCCCATGCATTTTATCCTTTGAAATTGTGCTTTTTAGCTTTCACTGCACTCAAGTATTGCTAATCAAGTTCTGTTTCTTACTGCATGCATAGATGATGATGAGTTTCAGCTGAGGAAAAACCCATTTAAAATCCCTTCGGATATTGATATCTTCTTACTGAGAGACAAGGAACGAGAAAGAACTAAGGTGGTATGTATAAGAACTAAGGCAAAAGCTAAGAGGTTTGCAGTGAATTTGAAAGGGGTTTGATGGCAGCCTTAACAACATTTGTTATGTGAAAGAACATTGAAGGCCAGATCCTCAGCTGGTGTATAATAGAACAGCTCCATTGAAATTTATTGGAAGTCTGTTGAAGTCAATGGAGCCAAGTTGATAAACAGCAGCTGAGAATCCAGGGAGGTATCTGAAGATTATTTTTATTGCTGTCTTTTTGTTTCTTTTCTTCTAAATACATGTGGATTTACCATTCCTGTCAGAGGCTCTTGAGGCTACAGAAATTACTTATTTATGTAGCACCCTTGAGGTCTCCTGTTTTGCAATTAATGGGGCTCATCCCTTGACTTGGAGAGACCATATATTAGTGCTGGATCACTGGCTAAAATAATGCTAAGGCTGACAGATTAATGTAGGGCTCCAAGCATCTGCCCATAAGAGGGGAATTAGAACCCCAAGAGCAGGACTAGAGAGACCTGGAATTTGGGGAGAGCTGGCTCTGTGATATGTTTCCTTCTTCCCCACAGCCTTGGAGGGGTTTCCACAAGGCTGCTGATCCCTGAATGGGGAAGGACTTGGGAACTCATGGCAGTACAACCCTTGTAGGGTCCATGTTTTCAAGAGGCAGCACTGAGGAAACAAGAGTCCTGTGTGGTTGTCCCTTCTGTTTCAGAGATTCCCTGATATCAGCCTCTTCTGCTGAGTAGAGGGACAAATGCCAGCCCTATAATGGCGACTCTGCAAGTTCCCACTCCCTTTCTCAGGAATAGCCCACAAAGAGAAATCTGGAGCACTCGCTAGATTAAATTAATCTAGCAGGGGAGGAGGTAGAGCAACAGCGTGCATCCTGCTGGGTGCAAACTTTAAGGGATGAGATTAACTGTTTTGTTTGCACTAGGGTAGTAATATTAGGAGTAATGGGATGAAATTCAGCAAATTGAAACATTGGTTAAATCTCTGAAAAACTTCTGAATGGGGAGATCAGTTAGATTGTGAAATAATCTCGAGTCATTTGAAGACTGTATGGACCAAGTACTTGATTAGAAGAACTTGTCTGCCTAACTGACGTGTCCCACTAGGAACGTGAGCGAAAGAAGACCTTGAAAGTTCATGAGAAGATGACTCGCTCCACGATGATGAATGCCAAGCAATCGGGGTTTAAGAAGGACTTCCAGAAAGAGGAGGAAGCAGAGGACCGAGAACTGGCAGTGGAAGCAGAGCGACTGAAAGTTCTCCAGGAAAGTATCTCTTGGAAGATCGCAGTCACCAAAGGTATGGAACTTGCGGACTTAACAACCCATCAGGCTCTGAGAGGGAAGGAAGCACAGAAGGACTGAGAGTTGCAAGTATTCTTGTTCTCTTCAGAAGCAGCTTATAGATAACTAAGTTGAGTTCTCCTAGCATGCCAAAACCACTGTCATCTATCACATCTTGCCAATATTCATGCATCCGTTCTCTATCATATGCACATGCATAAGAAATTTTATATGGCAGAGAAAATTATTAGAACAAAGTGGACCAAATTCTACTTTATGTACATGCTTTGCAGAAAGTTATCATCAGTGGTGTGGTGTGAGATGCAAGTCATTATAGAGCCTGATTTGGGACTCCCAAGACTCTTGGTTATGCTGTAATCATGGCAGGGTTTCTCTTTCATCA